ACCCCTGGAGAATCCCTCGCTGAGCATCCACGACCATGCTATTCCACTCCTGAGCGTGGGTGCTCAGGCTGCCCCGCGTATTCTGGGGGGGGGGGGGGGGGGGCAAAATTCCGCTCAACACAATAACTGCTTATATAAATGCTTATAAACTGAGCAACAGGACCAAGGCGACCCCTGCCACGCTATCCGTGAATTTCTGCAACATCAGGGGACTTCACTCGAACCTAAACGCCGTCCACTACCATCTCGAGACGGCGAAGCCGGCCTTGCTCTTTCTGACCGAGATGCAGGACCATCCGCGCGTCTACGTGTGCCTCTATAGGTCCCATAGCGGTAATGCCGAAACAGACCGACTCATCGACCACGTCCAAATGGCTACAGATTCCTTGCTACAACAGGTCCCATCCGCAGCGATCGTGATCCTTGGCGATTTTAACGCCCACCACACCGAATGGCTCGGTTCACGTTTAACCGATCATGCGTGGAGATCTGTTTATGACTTTGCCTTGGCATATGGTCTGACACAACTGGTTACATCGCCTACGCGGATTCCAGATGTTGAGGATCATACACCTTCCCTGTTGAACCTTCTGCTGACCTCTCATCCGGACGGATATCAGGTTTCCGTCGATGCCCCTCTTGGCTCTTCGGACCATTGTCTAATCCGGAGTGTGGTGCCACTCACGCTCCCCTTGCGGTTGCGTTCTGCAGGTTGCCGCCGTGTTTGGCATTACAGGTCGGTTGATTGGGACGGAATGTGGTCTTTCTTTGCTTCCTACCCATGGGGGCGGATTTGCTTCTCGCCGGATGATCCCAGCGCTGTTGCTGACTCTGTCACTGATGTGGTGCTACAGGGAATGGAACTATTTATTCCATCATCTGTGGTACCCATCGGAGGCAGATATCAGCCTTGGTTTGGTCGCTCCTGTAAGACTGCATTACGCAGTAAGCAGGAGTGTTATCAAGCCTGGGCTGCGGCTTCGGCGTCTCGGGATGTAAACACCAGCATACTTAAAAAGAAGTATAACTTCGCCTCCAGGTCCTTCAAAAGAGTTATTGCCAAGGCAAAGTTAGAGCACATAGGCAGAATTGGCGAGAAACTAGTTCGCCTTTCTTCAGGAAACCGGGCATTCTGGTCTCTCGCCAAGGCTGTCCAAGGGAATTTCTGTAAGCCATCACTACCATCTCTGCACAGGGAGGACGACTCACTGGCCCACGACGCAAATGAAAAAGCCGACCTTTTAGGCTCCCTTTTTGCGTCCAACTCGACTGTTGATGACGGGGGGAACACACCGCCGACCATCCCGCGGTGTGAGTGCTCCATGCCGGATGTCCGGTTCTCACAGCGCTCGGTTCGCAGAGCACTCCTCTCCCTTGACATCCACAAGTCGAGTGGGCCTGACGGAATCCCCCCAATTGTGCTGAGGACGTGTGCTCCGGAGTTGGCACCGGTTCTAACGCGTCTTTTCCGGTACTCCTACTGCCTAGGCGTAGTCCCGAAATCATGGAAGACAGCTTTTGTCCACCCGATCCTTAAAAAAGGCGACCGCTCAGACCCGGCCAACTACAGGCCTACCGCCATCACCCCCTTGTTCTCCAAAATAATGGAATCCGTTATAAACTGCCACCTCATGCGGTACCTTGAGGATCACCAACTGATTAGTGACCGCCAGTACGGTTTTCGTCGGGGTCAATCAGCTGGTGATCTTCTGGTCTACTTAACTCATAGATGGGCGGAGGCAGTAGAGTCCAAGGGGGAGGCATTGGCCGTTAGTTTGGACATTGCGAAGGCCTTCGATCGGGTTTGGCACAAAGCGCCCGAGAAATTATGCAATTGGATCACCAGCTTTCTTGTAGATCGGAGCATCAAGGTCGTTGTAGACGGTGCATGCTCCGACTACAAGCCTATTAACGCTGGTGTTCTACAAGGCTGCGTGCTATCACCAACGCTGTTTCTTCTGCATATCAATGATATGTTGCAAGCCGGTAGCATTCATTGCTATGCGGATGACAGCACTGGTGATCCTCTATACACCGGCCGTGCCAATATTTCTCAGGAAAACGTCACCGAGTACCGGAACAAACTTGTGTCTGAAGTCGAGTCTTTGCTGGACAAAGTCTCGGATTGGGGGCGACTAAATCTAAACCAGTTTAATCCTCAGAAGACACTAGTTTGCGCGTCTACCGCTAAAAAGAACCCCTTTGTCGTATCTCCTCAGTTTCAAGGTACTGCCCTTGTTGCCTCAGCCAGTATCGGAATCCTCGGCGTCGACATATCGAGTGACGTGCAGTTTCGTGGTCACTTGAAAGAGAAGGCCAAATTGGCCTCTAAAAAGCTTGGCGTGCTCAGCAGAGCCGGACAGCATTAAATGCCAGCTCAACGCCTGCAACTTTACAAGGCGCAGGTTCGGCCTCACATGGAATACTGTTCCTATCTCTGGGCTGGGGCTCCCCAGTGCCAGCTCCTTCCACTTGACCGCATCCAGCGCAAAGCGGCTCGAATCGTCGACGACCGAGTCCTTTCCGATCGGCTCGACTCATTGGCACTGCGAAGAGATGTTGCATCTCTTTGCATTTTCTTTCGCATTTACCACGGGGAGTGCTCTGAGGAATTGTTCGGATTAATCCCAGCCGCCAAATTTCACGAACGCACATCGCGACAGAACTCCCGATACCATCCACACCATCTGGATGATTGGCGGTCCACCACTGTGCGATTTAGAAGATGTTTTCTTCCTCGCACAACTTCCTTGTGGAATAGTTTACCACCAGCGATTTTTCTGGACCGATATGACTTAGGAACCTTCAAGAAAAGAGCTTTCACCTTTCTAAAAGGCCGGAAACGCATCTGCAATTCCCCTGGTGTTGCGGTTGTTCATGGGCGGCGGTAATCACTTACCATCAGGTGAGCCGCATGCTCGAGAGGTCAATTGACGGATTCAACTCGGCAGATTATGACACATCTCGTATATACCTCAAAACTTGAAAAGGAGATCGTACAACCAGTGCGTCTTGCGAGTAATGACTTAAGGATCTGAGACGTGGTCCTACACTGCTGGCCGTTTGAGGAAGCTCAAGGTTGCTTAGCGAGCTGTGCAGAGGCCTATGCTCGGGGTTTCTCTGCGCAATAGACTTGAAAATGAGGATATCCACAGTAGAACCAGAGTACCGAAGTAGCCTAACGGATTGGTAAGCTGAAGTGGCAATGGGCCGGCCATATAGCTCGAAGAACCGACAACCGATGGGGAAAGAAGTTTCTCAAGACAGCCTAGGCGAAGTGGGGCTGGGTCTTCCGCATGACGACTAAAAATAAATATAAAATGCGGTTGCAAACCCGTTTGCCAAGCGTGGCGACTATGGCAAATATCTCCCCTATAAGGCAATCTATGACAGATGCTTATGATTAGCCGTGGACTTTATTGGGCTGTAACGGTAAGGAATGTCACAATTTCAGTATAACCTAAATAGTTACATTAAAAAATTATTCCCTATTTTATTATCCTTGGAAGTGGAATTTTATCTTCTAATTTATATGGGACCGCTCTTAAAGTATAACCTATTTAATAAAAATGGAATCATCAAATTCAGTCTATAGTTGACGAAGATATCGCCTAACATACAAAATGCATACAGTGGAGTTGAGAACGTCTCCTTTTTTTAAGTTGGCTAAAATGCTCAAGAGTTAAGAAAGAATAATTTACGTGTTTTGACAAGAAATATTACGTGGTAGAGCCATGCTGCAGCTATGCTATGGTTGTAGCACGAATAGGTCGGCTCGACCGGGGAAGGACCACGCTCTCACAGAATACCAGCGTAAAATAGCAGCTTAATGCTGCCGTGTTTCGTATGATGAGTGTAGAGAACCGGAGACCCTTTTTACTGGAAACGAGGCATTTCATCTTAGTCCTCACGGGTGGCAACGCATCTGCATTTCGATTCGTAATCGAAGATAGATGTAGATGTCTATTGTTACCCTTATCCTATAAAAAAAAGAGTCTTGACTAGACACTGCTGGTTAAACGCACATTATAATCAAATTCGCATCCATTCATATTGTCAAGGGAAGTACTAACAAAAGTAAGTAAAAACCTTCATAGCACTCTTCCAACCAATAATAAATATTGAAATATAAATAAATATTTTTGAATATATAAATAAAGTCAATGTATGCAAAAAATATTTGTAAGCTTGTCGATTTACCTAATGGTTATACAATGTACATAGCGATGGCATGAAAACCAAACAGTTAACAGGAAAAATATCAATGTCAGTTTGCGGTTTTAAACTGTTTTATGTTACATGTACGTGTAGATAACTACTCATTTAACATGGCTTCGTGTTTTAGTTTGTTTGGTTTAATCCTAAATAATTATACGAGTAACTTAACAAAAAGTAAAAACTGACTTCAAATTGCTAAAAAAAGTTATTTGTTTGCTATCTTAAGGGTCGGAATATTTTCTCCAAATTTATATGGGACCACCCTTGTAGTATAACCTATTTTTTTTATTTTTTGTTTTATAGGATCGGTTGACAAACGAGCACACAGTCCACCTGATGGTAAGTGGTTACTGTGACCCATAGACATCTACATCTATCCTCAATAAAGACTCAAAATGCAGATGCGTTGTCACCCGTGAGGACTAAGATGGAATGCCTCTTGTCCAGTAAAAAGGGTCTCCGGTTCTCTACACTCACCATACGAAACACAGCTGCGTTAAACTGCTATTTTACGCTGGTATTCTGTGAGAGCGTAGTCCTTCCCCGGTCGAGCTGACCCATTCGTGCTACAACAATATTACTAATATAGCTCCAGCATGGCTCTAACACGTAGCTAGATATTAAATAAAAAAAAGAATCATTAAAATCGAAGTTCTCAATCTGCGAAGATGTCGCGTAACATACATACAAAAAACATACACTCGAATTGCGAACCTCGCCCTTCTTGAGGTCGGTTGAAAAAACAGATTTACATTGGCTCTAGTATTGATGTAAATTTTCAGTTCACAAAAGAGGATATAGAACTGCGGGATCCTCGCGGACGCACTCCCCTGTTGTTGGCTGTGACTCTGGGATACATAGAGGCGGTTCAAGCGCTGATCGACGCTGGTGCTGATGTCAACTGTGAAAAAGATGGGTGGACAGGTGATTATCTATTTCTTCTACTTCTCCTTTAACGGTCTGTAAAAGTCCAATGCTGGATGTCAGCCTTTCACGTTGTGAGCAGAATTCGCCTTGAACCACGTTCGGCAGGCAGTTTGACGATCGATCGTTGATCGAATATTGTCATACTACCATCTCTTTTTTATAAAACTGAAATGACAAACAAATTTTTTATACCTGTTAGAGTTATGCTGCAGCTATATTAGTAGTATAGTTATAGTAATCATTGGTCGGCTGGAGCGGGGAAGGACCACGCTCTCACAGGATACTAACTTAAAATAGCAGCTTGACGCTGCTGTGTTTCGTATGGTGAGTGTAGAGAACCGGAGAACTTTTTTGCTGGAAAAGAGGCATTCGATCTTAGTCCTCATGGGTGAGGATAGATGTAGATGTCTATGGACCACAGCAACCACTTACCATCAGGTGGACTGTGTGCTCGTTTGTCACACTATCTTATAAAAGAAAACTCACAGGCCACCTCTATAAGTGGCCACTGCAGCCTATTGATACCTGGGAACCAACTACAAAAAAAGAAAGCTACAGGTGCGTTGTCACTTCTGAGGACTAGGATGGAATGTCTCACAGCGCACGTACTGCTGTGTTACTATATAGACGGACTCCTGCGAGTAATCAGAAAAGGACTCTTATCACTCGTACCATTTTAAAATGTTAAATCTATCCGAAATTATAACGTTTTTCTGACTTTTCCAATAGGGCCTCTTACGACACTCACGGTATGAAATATAGTGATTGTTTCGCTTACACTGTCACTACACTGCAATAAAATATTTATTATGTAGTTTTAAAACAATTAAAAATTTTGTACAACCGACTTCATTCTACACATCTATATCTATACAAATAAATAAAATTGGAGTGTCTGTTTGTAATGTCAAAATAACAGCTTTTCACTAATTGCATATGAAAGTATATATCATCATCATCATCATTACAGCCCTTCACAAGTCCACTGCTGAACATAGGCCTCCCCCAAAGAATGCCACAAAGCACGGTCCTGAGCCACCTGCATCCATCGACTTCCTCCATGTCTTACCAGGTCGTCACTCCATCTCGTGGGGGGACGCCCTACACTTCGCCTACCGGTACGAGGCTGCCACTCGAGAACCTTTCTTCCCCATCGGTTGTCGGTTCTTCGAGCTATATGGCCGGCCCATTGCCATAGAAAGTATATATGGTACCTACTTATAACAAAAACATAATTTTTTAATTTTTTCTGTGTCTGTCTGTCTGTTTGTGCCGGCTAATCTCCGAAACGGCTGGACCGATTTTGATGGGACTTTCACTGGCAGATAGCTGATGTTATAAGGAGTAACTTTTTTTACTTTTATTTAAGAAAAAGAAATAGGTTCTGCACAAAAAAATTAATAACCTAAATTACACGCGTAGTATATAAATAAATGAGAACAAAATCAATATATTCGAAATCAATTAAATGCGCAATATTAAGGATGGCTAAAAACTACTAGTCAGATTTGGGTCAAATTTTTATAGGACCACATGAGAAGTACCCCTAGAAAAAAATTCGGAGCTAACACATAAAAAATACAATCGAATTGAGAACCTCCTCCTTTTTTTGAAGTAGATTGAAAATAGCTGTAACGAAGCCGTGTGTAGCGGCCTTATCTGACAGATGACAGAAAAACAAATACGCTAGGCCTGTAATGTTAATGGAACGATAAGCAAAAAAGGCGCAAAGTGGCTGATGCTGATATCTCCGATTTGTCTGCCGACTTCCAAAAAGGAGCCGGTACTCAATTCGACTGTATGTTTTTTTTTCGTTTTTTTTTATGTGTGTTACCTCAGAACTTTTTTCTGGGTGAACCGATTTCGATGATTCTTTTTTTATTTGAAAGCTGGTACTTCTCGTGTGGTCCCATATGAATTTGATCAAGGTCAGACCAATAGTTTTTAAGTTATTCTTAAATAACTTATATTGAAGTCGGCTATACAAAATTTTTAATTTTAAATTATTTGCTTAGCATTACTCATACGGCAACCCGTACCACACGGTATGGGCTTGTTGGTATAAGTGTAAATAATTTTTATTTTCTAAATAACTTCAAATTGAGACTTTGTAGCTTAATGTAGGTCTTCGTGTGCATGTCTTTAATTAAACCAGTGTTCGCCTAGTGTTCAAAATTCATACTTTATTCGACCGTAATAATATTACGGACGAATTTCGACCACTTTGTCCGAGCAACAAATATGTCTTCGACATTGAGAGTATGAACGTAAACAATGCATGTTTTACTTTATTTATTTTATGTATTTGTAAAACATATTATACATATATAAATTTTAGCTTTCCTGCGCACCTCTACAGAAACTTTAATTTTCTATGTTATAATTTTTCCCATTCTTCATTTGGTCTCTTAACCAATAGTGGCGGTGTAATAATATCCACTGCCCCATATCGACCCGCGGGTGTCGTAAAGGCGACAGAGGGAAACGGAAACAGGAAATAGGCAACAGCATCTTTCTGAAAATTGCTCTAATTAAATAATTGCGGTTGCTAACCCGACTACCAAACGTGGCTACTATGACAAAGTCTCCCGTATAACACTTTGACACTTTATGGGGGGAGGCATATGTTCAGCTGTGGACTTTTATAGGCTGCAATGGTAGGAATGGAAGAGACCAGCCCATCCAGTTACTTAATTTTAGTCGTTATTAGGAAGGCGCTGCTGTCCATCTCCGTCTCTCGCCTCTTACGACACCCATGGGATGATATGGGGTGTTAAAGACAAGATGGATAAAAATCTCGCGAAAACCTACGAGATACTATTACCATTGCGCAGCGGTACAGGAGGCGACGGCGACAGGCGACCCACAGTTACTGTCGCTGGTGCTATCTCGGCGCGACAAACAGCGACACTTGGCGCGCTCCAGTGGCGTGCCCGAACTGCTGCGTCGGCTCAGCCTCGCGCCCGACTTCTACGTTGAGATGAAGTGGGAGTTCACCAGCTGGGGTGAGTGCTACTGACAACAAGCTTAGCTTCGCGACAATTACTAGGTATTCTGTATCGGAATGACGTATGAATTCTATTGGGTACGTAGTTGAAATCACCAAAATAATCATAAATAACTACATCGTTTAATTGAACGTTGCAAAAATAAAATACAATATTGTAGTTAATATAATAAGTTTGAGGGCGGATCTTAACTAAATAATTTTTAACATCTATAATCTGCCATAAAAATGGATGACTTATGATTAGGGCATCGAGAACCGGCCCCTTTCCCGGAACCGGTTCTTTCGGTTCTAAAATTTTGCCGGAACCGGGTACCCGGTTCTTTCGGTTCTTTTCTTTCTTTTAGGTTGGAGGCTATTTCGTTCAATGTGAATAACGATAATAATATTCATTAAAAAAAAAACAGTTTATTGCAAATCGTGGGTTAAAGTAATTATTCAAGTAATAATTGCAATAGTTTCTTTCTAATTAAATATAATCAAACATATAACTAAGTAGGAACATTCATTTTACAATTGCACGATGCACATTAACAGTTATTTCACATTACTTACATAAAAATAGTTTGAAAGATTCTATTCTATTATAATATTACAATATTCTATCATAGAATATAATTTACGGCCTGTTATTATAACAAAACATGAATCAGCTCACTTATGAAAAAAATAGTTTTAATTAAACATTACTTCTTAATTTTACTTAAATAAAAAATAACCTAGAAAAATTAATGCTTGCAAATTTTTATCACTCAAAGACGAGCGCAGCCTATAGCAGAAGAAGACAATATTCGCTCTGGCTCTACACTGGTGGGCGAAATAGTTTTTAAATGTTATACCTATCGATAAGTAGTACTCGTTGTCTTTGCCCATCATTTTCATATAGAGCCATTTCAACTCAATTATAATTTCAATCAATTTAAGTCATTTTCTTGATCTGTCAATTCAGTGGCAGTATTAACAGCCTTAGACAGCTCTCTATTAAATTCCTCTTCATTTGTTAGGGGGATTCATGCAATTCAACTTCCTGCAGATTTTGACTTCCAATTGCTGTTTATTCAAGGGATACTTTTTGTCTAGCTTTCGTGCGATTTTGTTTATAAAATGAGGATGACAAGCGAACACACAGTGCACCTGATGGTAAGTGGTTGTTGTAGCCCATAGACATCTACATCTATCCTCGATGACGAATCAAAATGCCGATGCGTTGTCACACGTGAGGACTAAGATTGAATGCCTCGTTTCCAGTATCAAGGGGATCCGGTTTTCTACACTCACCATACGCAGCAGCGTATTCTGTGAGAGCGTGGTCCTACCCCTTTCGAACCAACCCATTCGTGCTATACTATACCAGTAATATAGCAACAGCATGGCTATACCACGTAAAAATTTTCAATTCCGTGTAACATTTCATCATTTGTAGACCGAAAAAGATATTTGCATCGTCCATACTGGCAAAATGACTGTCAGGGTTGGTTAAGTATCGCAATATTGATGCTTGCATGTTTTTTATATTGTTTTCGCAATGAGGTGACCATTTTATTACTAAGATAAGTATTAATTTGAACGAATTTTTTTATAGCAAATTTTAAAGAAACATCGGCTGTAATCAATGTTGTATCGGGACGGAATAGAGCTTCTACGATAGTTTTAATAACATCCAATATCTTATTTAACTCTTCTATGTTTGTCCAGTCTTCCTGAGTCCTACTGAGACCTACAATATCAGATTTGAAATCAATTAATGCTTTTGAGATCGTTTTTAACTTCAGAAATCGGCTTAACTTCGCGACTATGCTGCTCCAGCGTGTATTTACATCTAAAAACAAACAATATTCTTGTCCAAAATCAGCTATGATATGCTTTTGAAGATTTCGTCACTTTTAGTGGGGGAAGCCTCGAAAATTTTACCATATTATTACAAATCCTACTGTTTGCTGTATAAATAGAAGAAATGATTAATAATCACGTTTTTTATAACACTACATTGCAGTGATATACTTTTTAAGAAACTTTGTAAAGGAACCGAAAGAACCGGGTTTTAAATTTTTGGAACCGGTTCTTTTCGTTACCCCTGAAACCGGGAATTCCCGGTTCTTTTGGAACCGGGAAAAACCGGTTCCGATGCCTTACTTATGATATAAAACGTTTGAGTTATGATATAAAACGTTTGAATTATATATAAAACGTTTGAATTATGTTATAAAATGTTTGAGTTATGATATAAAACATTTGAATTATATATAAAACGTTTGAATTATGTTATAAAACGATTGAGTTATGATATAAAACATTTGACTTAGGATATAAAACGTTTGAGTTATGATATAAAACATTTGAATTATATATAAAACGTTTGAATTATGTTATAAAACGTTTGAGTTATGATATAAAACATTTGACTTATGATATAAAACGTTTGAGTTATCATATAATACGTCTGAATTATGATATAAAACGTTTCGCAGTGCCGCTGGTGTCACGCATTTGTCCGTTCGACACGTACAAAGTGTACAAGCGCGGCGGGAATGTGCGCGTGGACACTACTCTTGCCGGCTTTGACGAGACACACTGGCAGAGAGGAGAGCGGACGTATATATTCAGAGGGCAGGGTATGTTCACTACATTCTTCGCTTTTAATTCGATTACACTATTATTATTTACTTTGCTAATTGCTGAAAACCAACGCTACCACAACGCTGCAGTAATATGTTGAGTCAGTGTCAAACTATGGGGAAAGTCTATAAAATTGAAGTGTCTAAATGCATATGAAAGTATATACGTTACTTCTAACAAAGACACAATTTAAAAAAAAATTCTCTGTCCGTCTGTCTGTTTGTTCCGGCTAATCACCGAAATGGCTGGACCGATTTTGATGGCACTTTCACTGGCAGATAGCTGTTGTTATAAGGAGTAACTTAGGCTACTTTTATTTTAGAAAAAAAATAGTGTTTCTCGCAATAAAAAAATAGAAATACATGAAATTAGTCGTAATAAATTACACACGGGAGAAGTCGCGGGGAACAGAAATAAACTTCAAAGTGTGCACACATATAATGACAGCGTTCTCTTAGTCACATTAAACAAAATCAGTGTTAGTGTGTAGAAAACAACGCGGTTTACAAAACAAAGAACTAGTTTTCTCACCCGCTCGCAATCGACTAAAGAAGTTACGAAGAATTGACCGTAACTTAGTGCGCAATGGCCGTCTAATAGTATATATACATAGAAGTCTTTAGCTGTAATGGATGGATGTTTTGTATGTAACAGAAGGGTTAGTTGCAACCCTAATTTATCATTTTGGCCCTCCACCTGCGTCCGCGCGATCTATAAATCTTACTATGGAAGTAATATGTACTAGAACAGACACGTCGTAGAAGGTACAAATTAAGTACCTTTTTATGGCACAGAGTAAGTTTGAAATTGTGAACTCTTAAGTGTGTTAGACACAATCAAATTTTGTTGTCTCTTCTAGTACGTAGTACATATTACTTCAATGGTTGTGACACTGTTTCTGTTCTAAATTGCTGTTCTAGTAGTATTTGTTTTTCTATAGAATAAGTGTGACAAACGAGCACACAGCCTTTCTGATGGTAAGTGGATGCTGTGACCTATAGATTGCGGTCCCCGGTCGAGCCGATCCATTCGTGCTACAATAATAATATAGTTGTAGTGTAGCTCTACTACATATAAAATATACTACATGAAGTCTTTGATGCAACTACTAGTTACTATTTTGTGTAAAGTGTCGGTTTAGTAGTATGCATACTTCTGTATGGTGCGTATGAGTGGTTTGTACCTAGGGTGAGTACGAGTGTGAGTGGTGCTTGTGGTGTTGCAGGCACGCGCGCCAGCCTGGTGGAGCTGGACCACGAGCTGGGTACCGCGTGGAGCGAGCACATGGAGGCCGACGCGCCCTGCGCCTGGCCGCCGCCGCCCCGCGCCGCGCTGCAGCAGCGCCTCGCCGCGCCGCTCGCGCTCAACTACCTCGACACCGACAAGATCAGCTTCGAGAGGTCAGTGCCCCGCCCCGCCCCGCGCCGCGCTGCAGCAGCGCCTCGCCGTGCCGCTCGCGCTCAACTACCTCGACACCGACAAGATCAGCTTCGAGAGGTCAGTGCCCCGCCCCGCCCCGCGCCGCGCTGCAGCAGCGCCTCGCCGTGCCGCTCGCGCTCAACTACCTCGACACCGACAAGATCAGCTTCGAGAGGTCAGTGCCCCGCCCCGCCCCGCCCCGCCCCGCGCCGCGCTGCAGCAGCGCCTCGCCGCGCCGCTCGCGCTCAACTACCTCGACACCGACAAGATCAGCTTCGAGAGGTCAGTGCCCCGCCCCGCCCCGCGCCGCGCTGCAGCAGCGCCTCGCCGCGCCGCTTGCGCTCAACTACCTCGACACCGACAAGATCAGCTTCGAGAGGTCAGTGCCCCGCCCCGCCCCGCCCCGCGCCGCGCTGCAGCAGCGCCTCGCCGCGCCGCTCGCGCTCAACTACCTCGACACCGACAAGATCAGCTTCGAGAGGTCAGTGCCCCGCCCCGCCCCGCCCCGCGCCGCGCTGCAGCAGCGCCTCGCCGCGCCGCTCGCGCTCAACTACCTCGACACCGACAAGATCAGCTTCGAGAGGTCAGTGCCCCGCCCCGCCCCGCCCCGCCCCGCCCCGCGCCGCGCTGCAGTAGCGCCTCGCCGCGCCGCTCGCGCTCAACTACCTCGACACCGACAAGATCAGCTTCGAGAGGTCAGTGCCCCGCCCCGCCCCGCGCCGCGCTGCAGCAGCGCCTCGCCGCGCCGCTCGCGCTCAACTACCTCGACACCGACAAGATCAGCTTCGAGAGGTCAGTGCCCCGCCCCGCCCCGCCCCGCGCCGCGCTGCAGTAGCGCCTCGCCGCGCCGCTCGCGCTCAACTACCTCGACACCGACAAGATCAGCTTCGAGAGGTCAGTGCCCCGCCCCGCCCCGCCCCGCCCCGCGCCGCGCTGCAGCAGCGCCTCGCCGCGCCGCTCGCGCTCAACTACCTCGACACCGACAAGATCAGCTTCGAGAGGTCAGTGCCCCGCCCCGCCCCGCCCCGCCCCGCGCCGCGCTGCAGCAGCGCCTCGCCGCGCCGCTCGCGCTCAACTACCTCGACACCGACAAGATCAGCTTCGAGAGGTCAGTGCCCCGCCCCGCCCCGCGCCGCGCTGCAGCAGCGCCTCGCCGCGCCGCTCGCGCTCAACTACCTCGACACCGATAAGATCAGCTTCGAGAGGTCAGTGCCCCGCCCCGCCCCGCGCCGCGCTGCAGCAGCGCCTCGCCGCGCCGCTCGCGCTCAACTACCTCGACACCGACAAGATCAGCTTCGAGAGGTCAGTGCCCCGCCCCGCCCCGCCCCGCGCCGCGCTGCAGCAGCGCCTCGCCGCGCCGCACGCGCTCAACTACCTCGACACCGACAAGATCAGCTTCGAGAGGTCAGTGCCCCGCCCCGCCCCGCGCCGCGCTGCAGCAGCGCCTCGCCGCGCCGCTCGCGCTCAACTACCTCGACACCGACAAGATCAGCTTCGAGAGGTCAGTGCCCCGCCCCGCCCCGCCCCGCCCCGCGCCGCGCTGCAGCAGCGCCTCGCCGCGCCGCTCGCGCTCAACTACCTCGACACCGACAAGATCAGCTTCGAGAGGTCAGTGCCCCGCCCCGCCCCGCCCCGCCCCGCGCCGCGCTGCAGCAGCGCCTCGCCGCGCCGCTCGCGCTCAACTACCTCGACACCGACAAGATCAGCTTCGAGAGGTCAGTGCCCCGCCCCGCCCCGCCCCGCCCCGCGCCGCGCTGCAGCAGCGCCTCGCCGCGCTGCAGCAGCGCCTCGCCGCGCCGCTCGCGCTCAACTACCTCGACACCGACAAGATCAGCTTCGAGAGGTCAGTGCCCCGCCCCGCCCCGCGCCGCGCTGCAGTAGCGCCTCGCCGCGCCGCTCGCGCTCAACTACCTCGACACCGACAAGATCAGCTTCGAGAGGTCAGTGCCCCGCCCCGCCCCGCGCCGCGCTGCAGCAGCACCTCGCCGCGCCGCTCGCGCTCAACTACCTCGACACCGACAAGATCAGCTTCGAGAGGTCAGTGCCCCGCCCCGCCCCGCCCCGCGCCGTGCTGCAGCAGCGCCTCGCCGCGCCGCTCGCGCTCAACTACCTCGACACCGACAAGATCAGCTTCGAGAGGTCAGTGCCCCGCCCCGCCCCGCGCCGCGCTGCAGCAGCGCCTCGCCGCGCCGCTCGCGCTCAACTACCTCGACACCGACAAGATCAGCTTCGAGAGGTCAGTGCCCCGCCCCGCCCCGCCCCGCCCCGCGCCGCGCTGCAGCAGCGCCTCGCCGCGCCGCTCGCGCTCAACTACCTAGACACCGACAAGATCAGCTTCGAGAGGTCAGTGCCCCGCCCCGCCCCACCCCGCGCCGCGCTGCAGCAGCGCCTCGCCGTGCCGCTCGCGCTCAACTACCTCGACACCGACAAGATCAGCTTCGAGAGGTCAGTGCCCCGCCCCGCCCCGCGCCGCGCTGCAGCAGCGCCTCGCCGCGCCGCTCGCGCTCAACTACCTCGACACCGACAAGATCAGCTTCGAGAGGTCAGTGCCCCGCCCCGCCCCGCGCCGCGCTGCAGTAGCGCCTCGCCGCGCCGCTCGCGCTCAACTACCTCGACACCGACAAGATCAGCTTCGAGAGGTCAGTGCCCCGCCCCGCCCCGCGCCGCGCTGCAGCAGCACCTCGCCGCGCCGCTCGCGCTCAACTACCTCGACACCGACAAGATCAGCTTCGAGAGGTCAGTGCCCCGCCCCGCCCCGCCCCGCGCCGCGCTGCAGCAGCGCCTCGCCGCGCCGCTCGCGCTCAACTACCTCGACACCGACAAGATCAGCTTCGAGAGGTCAGTGCCCCGCCCCGCCCCGCCCCGCGCCGCGCTGCAGCAGCGCCTCGCCGCGCCGCTCGCGCTCAACTACCTCGACACCGACAAGATCAGCTTCGAGAGGTCAGTGCCCCGCCCCGCCCCGCCCCGCGCCGCGCTGCAGCAGCGCCTCGCCGCGCCGCTCGCGCTCAACTACCTCGACACCGACAAGATCAGCTTCGAGAGGTCAGTGCCCCGCCCCGCCCCGCCCCGCGCTGCGCTGCAGCAGCGCCTCGCCGCGCCGCTCGCGCTCAACTACCTCGACACCGACAAGATCAGCTTCGAGAGGTCAGTGCCCCGCCCCGCCCCGCCCCGCGCCGCGCTGCAGTAGCGCCTCGCCGCGCCGCACGCGCTCAACTACCTCGACACCGACAAGATCAGCTTCGAGAGGTCAGTGCCCCGCCCCGCCCCGCGCCGCGCTGCAGCAGCGCCTCGCCGCGCCGCTCGCGCTCAACTACCTCGACACCGACAAGATCAGCTTCGAGAGGTCAGTGCCCCGCCCCGCCCCGCGCCGCGCTGCAGCAGCGCCTCGCCGCGCTGCAGCAGCGCCTCGCCGCGCCGCTCGCGCTCAACTACCTCGACACCGACAAGATCAGCTTCGAGAGGTCAGTGCCCCGCCCCGCCCCGCCCCGCGCCGCGCTGCAGTAGCGCCTCGCCGCGCCGCTCGCGCTCAACTACCTCGACACCGACAAGATCAGCTTCGAGAGGTCAGTGCCCCGCCCCGCCCCGCGCCGCGCTGCAGCAGCGCCTCGCCGCGCCGCTCGCGCTCAACTACCTCGACACCGACAAGATCAGCTTCGGGAGGTCAGTGCCCCGCCCCGCCCCGCCCCGCGCCGCGCTGCAGCAGCGCCTCGCCGCGCCGCTCGCGCTCAACTACCTCGACACCGACAAGATCAGCTTCGAGAGGTCAGTGCCCCGCCCCGCCCCGCCCCGCGCCGCGCTGCAGCAGCGCCTCGCCGTGCCGCTCGCGCTCAACTACCTCGACACCGACAAGATCAGCTTCGAGAGGTCAGTGCCCCGCCCCGCCTCGCCCCGCGCCGCGCCGCGCTGCAGCAGCGCCTCGCCGCGCCGCTCGCGCTCAACTACCTCGACACCGACAAGATCAGCTTCGAGAGGTCAGTGCCCCGCCCCGCCCCGCCCCGCGCCGCGCTGCAGCAGCGCCTCGCCGCGCCGCTCGCGCTCAACTACCTCGACACCGACAAGATCAGCTTCGAGAGGTCAGTGCCCCGCCCCGCCCCGCCCCGCGCCGCGCTGCAGCAGCGCCTCGCCGCGCCGCTCGCGCTCAACTACCTCGACACCGACAAGATCAGCTTCGAGAGGTCAGTGCCCCGCCCCGCCCCGCGCCGCGCTGCAGTAGCGCCTCGCCGCGCCGCTCGCGCTCAACTACCTCGACACCGACAAGATCAGCTTCGAGAGGTCAGTGCCCCGCCCCGCCCCGCGCCGCGCTGCAGCAGCGCCTCGCCGCGCCGCTCGCGCTCAACTACCTCGACACCGACAAGATCAGCTTCGAGAGGTCAGTGCCCCGCCCCGCCCCGCCCCGCGCCGCGCTGCAGCAGCGCCTCGCCGCGCCGCTCGCGCTCAACTACCTCGACACCGACAAGATCAGCTTCGAGAGGTCAGTGCCCCGCCCCGCCCCGCCCCGCGCCGCGCTGCAGTAGCGCCTCGCCGCGCCGCTCGCGCTCAACTACCTCGACACCGACAAGATCAGCTTCGAGAGGTCAGTGCCCCGCCCCGCCCCGCCCCGCCCCGCGCCGCGCTGCAGCAGCGCCTCGCCGCGCCGCTCGCGCTCAACTACCTCGACACCGACAAGATCAGCTTCGAGAGGTCAGTGCCCCGCCCCGCCCCGCGCCGCGCTGCAGCAGCGCCTCGCCGCGCCGCTCGCGCTCAACTACCTCGACACCGACAAGATCAGCTTCGAGAGGTCAGTGCCCCGCCCCGCCCCGCCCCGCGCCGCGCTGCAGCAGCGCCTCGCCGTGCCGCTCGCGCTCAACTACCTCGACACCGACAAGATCAGCTTCGAGAGGTCAGTGCCCCGCCCCGCCGCGCGCCGCGCTGCAGCAGCGCCTCGCCGCGCCGCTCGCGCTCAACTACCTCGACACCGACAAGATCAGCTTCGAGAGGTCAGTGCCCCGCCCCGCCCCGCCCCGCGCCGCGCTGCAGTAGCGCCTCGCCGCGCCGCTCGCGCTCAACTACCTCGACACCGACAAGATCAGCTTCGAGAGGTCAGTGCCCCGCCCCGCCCCGCGCCGCGCTGCAGCAGCGCCTCGCCGCGCCGCTCGCGCTCAACTACCTCGACACCGACAAGATCAGCTTCGAGAGGTCAGTGCCCCGCCCCGCCCCGCCCCGCGCCGCGCTGCAGTAGCGCCTCGCCGCGCCGCTCGCGCTCAACTACCTCGACACCGACAAGATCAGCTTCGAGAGGTCAGTGCCCCGCCCCGCCCCGCGCCGCGCTGCAGCAGCGCCTCGCCGCGCCGCTCGCGCTCAACTACCTCGACACCGACAAGATCAGCTTCGAGAGGTCAGTGCCCCGCCCCGCCCCGCCTCGCGCCGCGCTGCAGCAGCGCCTCGCCGCGCTGCAGCAGCGCCTCGCCGCGCCGCTCGCGCTCAACTACCTCGACACCGACAAGATCAGCTTCGAGAGGTCAGTGCCCCGCCCCGCCCCGCCCCGCGCCGCGCTGAAGCAGCGCCTCGCCGCGCCGCTCGCGCTCAACTACCTCGACACCGACAAGATCAGCTTCGAGAGGTCAGTGCCCCGCCCCGCCCCGCCCCGCGCCGCGCTGCAGCAGCGCCTCGCCGTGCCGCTCGCGCTCAACTACCTCGACACCGACAAGATCAGCTTCGAGAGGTCAGTGCCCCGCCCCGCCCCGCCCCGCCCCGCGCCGCGCTGCAGCAGCGCCTCGCCGCGCCGCTCGCGCTCAACTACCTCGACACCGACAAGATCAGCTTCGAGAGGTCAGTGCCCCGCCCCGCCCCGCCCCGCGCCGCGCTGCAGCAGCGCCTCGCCGCGCCGCTCGCGCTCAACTACCTCGACACCGACAAGATCAGCTTCGAGAGGTCAGTGCCCCGCCCCGCCCCGCCCCGCGCCGCGCTGAAGCAGCGCCTCGCCGCGCCGCTCGCGCTCAACTACCTCGACACCGACAAGATCAGCTTCGAGAGGTCAGTGCCCCGCCCCGCCCCGCCCCGCGCCGCGCTGAAGCAGCGCCTCGCCGCGCCGCTCGCGCTCAACTACCTCGACACCGACAAGATCAGCTTCGAGAGGTCAGTGCCCCGCCCCGCCCCGCGCCGCGCTGCAGCAGCGCCTCGCCGTGCCGCTCGCGCTCAACTACCTCGACACCGACAAGATCAGCTTCGAGAGGTCAGTGCCCCGCCCCGCCCCGCGCCGCGCTGCAGCAGCGCCTCGCCGCGCCGCTCGCGCTCAACTACCTCGACACCGACAAGATCAGCTTCGAGAGGTCAGTGCCCCGCCCCGCCCCGCGCCGCGCTGCAGCAGCGCCTCGCCGTGCCGCTCGCGCTCAACTACCTCGACACCGACAAGATCAGCTTCGAGAGGTCAGTGCCCCGCCCCGCCCCGCGCCGCGCTGCAGCAGCGCCTCGCCGTGCCGCTCGCGCTCAACTACCTCGACACCGACAAGATCAGCTTCGAGAGGTCAGTGCCCCGCCCCGCCCCGCGCCGCGCTGCAGCAGCGCCTCGCCGCGCCGCTCGCGCTCAACTACCTCGACACCGACAAGATCAGCTTCGAGAGGTCAGTGCCCCGCCCCGCCCCGCGCCGCGCTGCAGCAGCGCCTCGCCGTGCCGCTCGCGCTCAACTACCTCGACACCGACAAGATCAGCTTCGAGAGGTCAGTGCCCCGCCCCGCCCCGCGCCGCGCTGCAGCAGCGCCTCGCCGTGCCGCTCGCGCTCAACTACCTCGACACCGACAAGATCAGCTTCGAGAGGTCAGTGCCCCGCCCCGCCCCGCGCCGCGCTGCAGCAGCGCCTCGCCGCGCCGCTCGCGCTCAACTACCTCGACACCGACAAGATCAGCTTCGAGAGGTCAGTGCCCCGCCCCGCCCCGCGCCGCGCTGCAGCAGCGCCTCGCCGTGCCGCTCGCGCTCAACTACCTCGACACCGACAAGATCAGCTTCGAGAGGTCAGTGCCCCGCCCCGCCCCGCGCCGCGCTGCAGCAGCGCCTCGCCGCGCCGCTCGCGCTCAACTACCTCGACACCGACAAGATCAGCTTCGAGAGGTCAGTGCCCCGCCCCGCCCCGCCCCGCGCCGCTCGCGCTCAACTACCTCGACACCGACAAGATCAGCTTCGAGAGGTCAGTGTAGGGAAATAGGATTGAATCGGGCTGGCTAAGTGGTGGAAGAAGTATACGAGCGTTCGTATGCAAAATATTGCAAAGAGCTGGATTTTACCATATAGTATTATATAGAATTTGGGTGATAAACGAGCACACAGTCTGCCTGATGCTAAGGAGATGCTATAGCTATAGACATCTACATTTATTTTCGATTAAGAATCAAAATGCAGATGTGTTGTCACCTTTGAGGACTAAGATGGAATGCTTCCTTTCTATTAAAACTGGCCTTCGGTGCTTTACACTCATAATACGATACACAGCAGCATTAAACTCCTATCTTACGCTAGTATTCCGTGAGGGTGTGGTCTTTCTCCGGTCGAGTCCCATTCGTGCTATGACCATAATATATTATCATTTTTGATTGATTGCAGAAACAAAAGCGGCATCTGGGGTTGGCGGCAGGACAAGACGGAGACGGTAAACGGGTACGAGTGCAAAGTGTTCAGTGCGAACAACGTGGAGCTGGTGTCGAAGAGCCGCAGCGAGCACCTGCCGCGGGGCGAGCGAGCGCGGGCCGCGCCGCGCGCGCCGCTGGCCGGCCTGCTCGCGCTCGCCGACCGGGACGCGCCCGCCGACACCGCCGACCCCGACGACCCCGACGACCCCGAAGACCCTGAACAGGTAACGACCACGAACACTACCACTATACGACAGACTTTATTCATGGTAAGACCTCACCCCTCTCCTGGCACGTCTCGCCGTTACACATTTGTAAAGGAGGTTCAAAATACATAATATAAACAAATGGTAAAAAAATATCAGAATATCAGAAAAAACCTCAAACATTTGTCCTTTTTATCTTGTATATTCAAAATAAGTGGAAAAGGGTTATTTTAAATGGTTGTCATTCATAAATGTGTCGCGTCTACTATTTTCATTAGCACGCACACATTCGTAAGAGAGTGTTGAATTCGCAAGCAGTCGGTAGCGTTCGGCCAGTTAGCGCTCGCGCTCGTTTACTTATATATATTTAGTTTCCCCGCCTTTTCCCCTCCGCAAGCCGTTACACTGCTAGCAGTGTACCGAGGCCGGCTGGGTGAACGTACCTAGGTATGTCCACCCGGCCGGCCCCGGCGGACAATGTTCGTTTGACTGTGACCTCTTTAGGTACTAGTGTCCTTTTTTAAATTTCGTAGGTTAATTTCCCAACGAAAATATTCGAATCGCGAATACTATGAAATGTTGCAAGTTACATTTTAAGCAATGAAATTTTACGTTGTGCGCAAAGATTATACGAAAGTGAATCTTTACCGCGTTTACAAAGACATGGAATTAATGCACGTGTACCACCCAATTGAAGAACAATTATTGCAGTTAACTTAAGCTGCTGTTAAACTTGGGACAGGACAGTTCACCACTCCGTCACATGGAAGTGCTTAAAGTGGTCATTCAGTAATATGCCGGGCTGTCGAAAACGTGAAAAGAAGAAAATAATCTAGTTTTTCAATCGATACCCCCGCACTAGCACCAATTATGTAGTTTGAGTTCAGAGTTAGCCAGTACGCGTGGAAACTACTGAAATCTTTTGGATTATTATTATTTGATATTATAATAACCATTTTTGTACAATTTTTCTTTAATTGACGAATGAGAATAAAAGAAGAATGAAAGAAGAATTGAAAGATGAAATCTCTTATGCCGCTACCAGATGGCTAATCAATATTATTTAATCATTTTCGTTACTTTAAGATATATTTTTCATGTGAAACATCTATTGGCGCGCCTTGCCAATAACCGACTCGTGTGCCGTGACGGTAAACGGCTCTCTTATGCTGTCATGTCCTCTCTACGTCACCTCTCTCGACTCCCTTGTTTGCGTGCACGTATACTCTACACTTCGTTCCTTTCTATTCGACTATTGTATACTTGCCGAGTTCACCGCTTGTTTGTTCATTATTAACATTATTTTGCACCTAATACTATTAGAAAGGCTGGATCATCGAATCAACGTAACAACGCATAACCTAAAATACCGAATGTAGAAAAAAATCTCAAAAAGGCAGTTGTAACTGATCCTGATTTACCGCTGGGTAATGCTGCCTTAGGTGCCCCTAAGAAGAGAATATTCTCAATTGCATAGAATATTGACCTGTTTATTTTACGTGGTACGTACGTTGCTCATGCAAAAGAAATAACAAATTAGATTATTATTTTGAAGATAATAATACGTGGACATAAGGAGCTACCTTATACTTTTTTTATATATAACGTTAAATTATATTTGTCTGTGTATTTCTTTCTAATACACTTTTACTTATTTTACTCCTTATTTCTTTAACTTGGTTTTCGTGGCGACCAACTTTTTTATCATTGTGAGGAAATCAAATATACATATTTCAGCATTTTAGGGGACAGTGGAATAACTCAATTTTTATTTTTCTACATTAAAAATAATGTACCTACTATTACAGCCTATCAAGAGTTCACTGTTTATCATAGATCTCTCTCAGTGATTGCTTTTTATGGGGGTTATATGCCATGCTTGGCAAGTAAGTTGGCAATCGTAGTTTTTTATTCGTTATTAGGAAGACGCTGCTGCCAATCTCCTTGCTTGTTAACCTCTGGTACATTTTACGACTCCCACGGGATAATATGGGATAGTGAATATTCTTACACCACCACTACACAGTTAATAAGTGGGTCACCAACCTCGAGGGAAGCCAGCCAACCAAGCCGGATAAGAAATGTTTTGTTGTACATCATATAGTTGTTCATTTTTAATCAGTCAAAAAACATTGAGAGTGGCCATAAATTTAATGGTTTGTTTATTTCCAGGAGGATCTGCCTCGGACAAGCCGATCACGTGAAGATCTTCAACCAGTGTCATGGGCGGAGTATTTCAGTGATGAACCCTTAGAGAAGGACATCGGACGACCCAAAGAGATCACCACTAAAGTGCAAAAGTTCAAGGCAACGCTGTGGCTTTGTGAGGACTACCCGCTTGAAGTAAGCCATTTATCTGTTTTGTTCATTTAACTCCTTCTGTTTGTCTGTTAGGTGTGAAATTTATTAAATTTGTTTACACATTCTTTTAGCTGACTTTACTTGGTCTCCTTGCTACAATATTATGTATTTAATATAATTTGTATGTAAACCTATTGTATTATATAACTATATTCGTATTATGTAACGTTGAATTTAAGTATGTTTGTAAATTTTCTTTTTTAGTTGACTCCTGACTTTCTGTAGATCAACTTTTCAAATTTCGTGACTTAGCTCTGTACTTTAGTTTATAAGTAAAATTCATGTAAACAGAGACAGAGACAGACAGACAAAGTAAGTCTTACCTTAAAGCAAATTGTATTACGTATATGTTTTGGCAAGGTATTCAGCCCAGTGAGCGAACAACGCTCCTTGGGGCAGTACGGAGCATATATATATACACAAACACACACATATATATATACATATATATATATATATATATATATATATATATATATATATATATATATATATATATATATATATATATATATATATATATATAATGTATATATATATAATAGCTTAAATGCATGACCCTTCGTCTTCTTTGGTCTTTATGAAGTAAATCCTGAAAAACTGTCGTGGAAATTTTATCTCAGAATATCCATTAAGGTTCATACTCGTATTATAGCCAAAACCACGAAATCCGTGCCAAAGTGTAAAAAGAATTTCATTTCAAACATTTGTAAAATCTTTGATCCTAATTTGTGTAAAATATGAAAAAAGTAAATGTGCCAATATATTACTAGGTGTGCGATATATATATATATATATATATATATATATATATATATATATATTCACCGGAGTACTTCGGAAATTCGACAGTATGATTTAGGCTTTGATTCGCTTCACAGTGCCGCCACATATGCCACAGTGAAATTTAGATGTATTGGAAAGCGAAAATTTTAAATTTACGTACACGTAGGCCTTCCAACAGATAGGCGCATTGGGGGAGATTTGTCACACAAGCCACACTTGGCAGCCGGATTTATGATCGCAGATGTCTAGCATCTTTCTGTCTCCGGTATGTGTTTCCGACATCCATCGAACCTGAGATTTTTCTTCCATGTCCCATTCTTATCTGTCACGACCGACACTCTTGGTCTCTTGGATCGACATAGAGTGGTTGATTTACACCACCACGATAGGGCATAAAAATGTTTGGCTAACTCTATTATATGACCTTGGGTACGGCACTGCTAACAGGTCTTGAATATGATGCTGTTTTTATTTTATTTCCAGCTCCAGGAACAGATAATGCCAATTCTCGACCTAATGACAGCCATTTCGTCACCACATTTTGCAAAACTCAAGGACTTTATCCAGATGCAACTGCCCGCAGGATTCCCTGTGAAAATTGGTAAGTTATTAAAAGTAATAAGATTTGATAATTTGCAATAAAATGTAGATGTTACTTACATACTTACATGTGTTGATGCATTTTATCTGTTTCTCATATTGTTAATTTTTCTTTCACATTAAATTACTATTAATTCTTATTATTAAACTACTATGTAAGTCTAAACACAATTAATTTTATTTCCCTATAATAATATAGATGATTTTCAATGGAGAATTAGCAAACTAGATATGTAGTGGCATTCTGTACACTTTTTCATAATTAACCCATAAAATTGCCCAACGTAAAACTCCCAGTTCTCTCTCCTTTTTTATATTTATTAGTGTGTTACTATATAGCTGTGTTACTTTATCTAAATGCAATATATCAATCGCAATATTAAAAATTATTGTGAATTTTACCTTACTTAACGTACACACCACTTATTACAATATATTAGCCAAAGAAATTAATAAAATAATAACTTAATTCTCTATCTGAGATACTCTCCTTTTTGGTAGAGACTAGAGATATATTTTATACATTTAATATATAATACAAGAATATGTATGTATGTTTGATATATAAATGTTTATTAAAAGTGTGCGTGCGTGTGTGTGTGTGTGTGTGTGTGTGTGTGTGTGTGTGCGTGCGCGCGCGTGCGCGCCTGTTTGTGTGTGTGTGTGCGTGTGTGGGTGTGTGTGTGCGCGCGTGCGCGCGCGCGCGTGCGCGCGCGCGCGTGTGTGTTTGTGTGTGTGTTTCCTCCATATATTACAAAATGACACTCTTTTAAGAATGTTGTTGTGATTATGAAAATACATTAATAATTTAAAAAAATTGATCTATTTTAACATTTGATTAAAGAATTATGTCCATTTCAGTTGTTCGGTCCGTGGGAGGTAAAGAACACAACCTCGTTATTAATAATGCAAAATACATCACCCTTCTTTTTGCTTCTTAGTAGGCAAAGCAACAGGCCCCACATACGATTGCATATATTATTATTTATGTTTTTAATTTTGATGCATTTATTTACATAACATTGAAATATATATAATATTAAATAAAATATGCGTGAGTGTCGTGGATCACATCGGTTGGAACGAAGTTCCATTCGTAGTGCATTATTATTGATACACGTATTATATTATTGATTAACAAATACAAATAAATGAATTACTAGCGTCTGTTAAAATGAACCGTCATTTAAAATAAAATAATATTTCTTTCATGGCAAGATAAGAAAAGGTGCGAGGGAGGTGAATATTATTCCGTCTCGCTTCCTTATAACCGCCAAGGCCGTCTACACGACAAGGGGTCGTGACTGAAAAATCTTACAGTTTTTTCGCCTAGCCCTCATCCGCCAAATCCGTACAGTCCGAACGAAAGAACTTCGTTCCAAAAACTATAATAAAAAAAAAAAACTAAAACCTTAAATTATCATAGATTCTTTCTCTTTGCGGTATTGTGCAACAAACGCTGGCTGCGTTTCCTGGCTGACTGGCTTTATTTAGCCTTTGAGTGAGAAAAGAGCCAGACCACTTTTTACCGGCAGCGACCACCAGTCGCTAATACAGTTCCTAAATATTATAATATTCTAATATTTTAAATATATATTTTTACATTTGTATTGTAAGCCTCTTTATATACCATTTTCTTGCAGTAAAGGACATAATATATTACGTTCGCAAACAGACATCCAACAAAGTTTTAGCTATGCACCATTATTTACAAGGAGGCATGCATTAGGTTATTTTTGAGCTAATTTCTTAATTAGGTTTTAGATTGACAGCTTCAATAAGTTTGCCTTTTTAATAATATACAGAGTGCATATTTCCGCTTGTAGTGTGTAGTAATGATTACTCTTTTAAATATTTGAAATAAACACTCAGTTATAAAGGCAGAAGTGTGAACCCTTTTGATAGTTTCTAGAATAAGGCATCACTAAGCGGAAATGAAACAGTTGATTTTGTAAGATCCTGGATAGTGGATAGTGTATGCATTTAAAGCCCGTGATACACATGCTTGTTGCTCGCCCAATAGCATGCCAAATAGAGTTAAAACATGTTATTGGCATATGTAGTTAAATATATCGAGATTCAGTTCTGAACTTATGTAAATAGCAGGAGATCGTAAGGCGTTCAATGCCCCCCACACCCACTTCACTTCGGGGAAATGAAGTGGGTGTGGGGGGGCATTGTATATTTTTAGTCAAATGTGATTTTTGTAATCCTTGTAGGTCTTTTCTGATTTCAATTATTTAAATATTTTTTTCTACCCGTACCCGTCAATTCATATAATCTGTTTAATTTCTCATCCATATTGTTCTCTTTTGCGTCGATTACTTCTTCCTATCAAAAGTTTTTTTTTATTAATATTATATTATGTACATTAATTTATCATAAATAAATTATGCCCAAAAATAGAAATATACAGGCTGTCCTGTAAATAGTAGTCCAAAGAAAATGTGGCGAGAGATGAGAGCGTACCCTATGAGAACAGCAAAAAAATTTTAATACAATTGTTACAATTTATAAGATTTATTGATTTTCATCATTTTATGAAAAATGTATTATTTCACGTCGTATGCGCTACATGTTTTCTCGGATCTCACGCACTGAGCATTAGAAAATAATAAATAGGAAACAACAAAAGAAATTGGACGTGGTAGAGCCATGCTGCAGCTATATTAGTAGTATGGTTGTAGCACGAATGGCTCGGCTTGACCGGGGAGGGACCGCGCTCTCACAGAATACCAGCGTAAAATGGCAGCTTGACACTGCTGTGTTTCGTATGGTGAGTGTAGAGAACCGGAGACCCTTTTTACTGGAAAAGAGGCATTCCATCTTAGTCCTCACGGGTAACGACGCATCTGCATTTAGGTAGGTGTAGGTGCATGTAAAGTGGTGTTTAGTGGTGTGTATAAAGTGGACCGTTGAAGTCTGATCGCAGATCCACTGGCGCTGCCTCTACTCCAAAGGCGAGATCTCTCAAAAGGGGGCGATCACCAATTGACAACTTCTGTCATCATTTCACTATTTCAGTTTATCAACTTTATTGTACACAATTTCAATCCATCAACTTTATTGTCCATTTAATTAACTTCAACTCAACTAAATCCCCGTTAATCGTAATCAAAAACGTAACACACGGCACGACTAATGGACGTTGGATCAAAGGTCACTTCCGTTTCACGTAGCAACAAGATTATAACTGCTAACCAGAACGCGGTCTCTTAAATCTCTCTCTTAAATCTTAAAAATAAGATATATTTGAACTTTGTTTACGCCGGACCGAAGCTTGTATGGAACGAAGTTCATCTCCTTTGTGATAATTTTTCGATAACATCATGAAAATCAAAAAATTTTGAAAACTGTAATAGTTTTATTAAAAAATTTTTGACTGTACTGTGATAGGGCACGGTCTCATCTCTCGCTACATTTCGTTTGTACTACTATTTACAGGATACCATATATACTTGGAAAGAGTCAGTAAGAAACGCAGCACAACATTTTTTAAAAGAAGAAAGTGCTCTTTTAAATTCTAAATTTAATGTTGTACAGTAGACGTAGTATATAAGTAGCGATTCACATACGTTATTATCGTTCATAAATTCCTTAGTATTATAAAAACCTCTTTCATACAGTCTTTTTTAATCATTTTTATATATGGCGGTGGGTAAATTTTTTATATTTTCAGGGATTTTTGTTTTAAACTTTTGCTACTAGCTTGTGTGTTCTGTAAAAAGTGATATTCTTTTTGTAAATACGTAGAAAGAATATAACTTTTTTTAAGCTCATTGTAACTGTTTTTAAAGTAACTAGCATGCTATCTTATCACCGCCTTACCACTCATAAGCATAAGTATTACGGGCTTTATGATAGCATTCTTCGAACTCTGTTATATACGCAAGGGTCGTACAAAATTAAGTCAGTGGATTTCTGAACACAATATCGCAAATTTTGGTGCAGAGATCCCCTTGTTCCACGTGGTGAACGCTCGGATCACGTTCGGCAACATCTTCGCGACGGAGTCCCCGGTGGCGCACATCTCGTGCATCCGGGAGGGGGAGCGGCTCTCGTGCGTGGTGGACGACGCGTGCTTCGAGGTGGGGCGCGGCTACCGGCCCGTGGTGCCAGGAGTCCGCGAGTCCAGCGGCACGGACGACGAGGACGCGCTGCTGCAGTACGCCATACAGCAGAGCCTCATGGAGGCAGGCACGCATGATGACCAGGTCAGTTGATGTGATTTTTATAATGAATTTGTCTCCTTTGTTTATCTAGTATAGTGGTAATCTCAACTTGTTTTTATATTTATATATTATATATGTATAGATGAATCGCTGGAGAACCTAAACACTATGCTCAATGAGCTCAATAGTGCCTCCCAACGGATAGGTCTTAAGATGAACATGGACAAAATAAAGATCATGTATAATGTCCATGTTACACCTATGCCTATAGACGTTGGAAGCACAAAACTCGAAATTGTTGACGAATATGTTTACCTGGGACAAATAGTCTGACTAGGTAAGTCCAACTTCGACCGAGAGGTCAATCAACGGATTCAACTCGGCTGGGCAGCGTTCGGGAAATTACGGCATATCTTCTCGTCAGGTATAGCTCAAAACTTTAAAACTAGACTGTACAACCAGTGCGTGTTGCCAATATTAACCTATAGAACTGAGACGTGGTCCTTCCTTGCTGGCCGTATGAGGAAGCTGGAGATCAATATTGTACTCCATTTAAAAACAGCGCTGCTGTTATTTAGTCCAACAGTGATTAGCTGAAACAGGGACCTAATTTTGCTTCACACAAATTCTCTGGTATTTTTTTTATCTCACGTTATACTTTTTTTTCTTTGTGATGTCATGTCCGCCATTTTGTGATCATCCGTCTCCACGATGCAGTCACATCCTAAGAATAAGGGTCAAAGCACCCGATAGTGAGCCGATGTTGTGCCCATATACATCTTTATCTATCCTCGATTAAGAATTAAAAGTTTCTTTATGAATTGCTTTATTACATTTTTTTTATAGGATAGGGTGACAAACGAGCACACAGTGGTAAGTGGTTGATGTGGCCCATAGACATCTACATATATCCTCGTTTGGGAATCAAAATGTAGATGCGTTGTCACCCGTGAGGACTAAGATGGAATCCCTCTTTTCCAGTAAAAAGGGTCTCCGGTTCTCTACACTCACCATACGAAACACAGCAGTGTTAAGCTGCTATTTTACGCTGATATTCTGTGAGAGCGTGGTCCTTCCCCCGTCAAGTCGACCCATACGTGCTACAACTATACTACTAATATAGCTACAGCATGGCTCTACCACATATAAACACATATTAAAAGTGTGTCCGATTCTGTACACTCATTATTCTGTATACTGTGATAGCGTGGCCCAATCGAAGTCGAGCTGATCCGTTCGTGCTACATAATACATGGAGACTGCGGCGTAAGGAAATCCACTGCCTCATTCCTTAGGGCGTTATTAGTCTCTAATTTAACTTTTTGCCACTGTTTCCAGGTGGACGTATGGGAAGCCTTGCGCGGGGCTCGGCCCTCGTCCCCCGCGAGCCCCGCGTCCCCCGCGGCGCCTCCGCCCCGCGGGCTGCTGGCCGATGAGGAACGACAGCTACAGAGGTAATATAATTTTATTTTAAACGCTACCCCACTAGGAATTTCTCGTGTATCGTGGAGGCAGTTTACAAACATACATTGCACAAGGACTAACATACAGACTCAGAATAACAGCTCGTAGATCATACAAATGTTGTTCCGTTTTCTCGGTCCTCAGCGCCGCAATTCATCAACTCGCTAAGGTTCTTCAATATTTTATCTGGGTGAGTAAAAATGCCGATGAGGATGAGAAAGGAACGTATTCTTTTACACACACAGCAAGTATACAATTGTTGCCCAAAATTTCAAAGCGTCTTTGGTGAGTTCCTTAGTAATCTCAGATGCAGTAGGTCGATTGATCGCAGGCGCTTCCCGAAGTAGAGTTCACTTTCGCGTTTCCTAAATAATATTTTTTTCGAACGCCGGCGCACGCTTTCAAATTCAATAAAAGGAATGCAGGAAACTCTTTCAATGGGAGGTACTAGATCTCTCGGGATTAAAAATATGCCCAAAGGAGAAAAGGCTTTATGTTAGTAGACATAAGGTTGCCTTTTGCAGCTCCCCATCGTCTCGTAGATGTCGTAAGAGGCGATAGAGGGGAACACATCAGAAGATAGACAGCAGCGTCTTCCTAATAAAGACTGAAAATAAAATATCATTTACCAACGCTATCCTGCCAAGCCTGCCAAGCGTATCAACTATGGCACGTATTCTTCCATAAGGCAATCTATGGGAGAGGAATACATAAACATAACAGCAATAAGAACGTACTTTTTTCAATCTCAGTAGAGATTTATGCAAAATAAATGCATATAAAATACTGTTAGGACTTTTAAAATATTCGCCCCTATAATTAGTGTGAAATAATACGCGAATAGCCCGTTATAAAAAAGTTTGGAGACAGAAAAGTCATTCGCATCTTTTAAAAATTGAACGTTTGTATTTAGCAAGTAGAAATACAATAGATTTTTTTCATGTTATTGTATTTGTTTGCAATTATTCATTATTTTTCAGGAAGCGGCGATTTTAGCAACGATACTTTTTTATTAAACCCGTAACGCTTCGCTATAGCTTTATATGTGCACTTCTTAGCTTGTTTCAAGTAATTTAGCCAGCTTCGTAATTTAGATCTTATGTATTATGCGTTTATAATGACATTGACTATAAGGATCTGCGTTCACAGACGGCACGGTATGGCACGGCGTTTCAATGATATTTTTTTTCGTTTTCAAAAGATTTTCGACCTTATTTTAATGAATTTACCACTGATATTCCTTTATTTCAAAACGTATAAAACGTCTCGCGCCACACCGTGGAGTGCTGCGGCACGTCGCGGCATTCCATAGGAGGCAGCGGCATTAACGTGAAAACGTGAAACACATGGGTTACTTCATGTTGTTAAAGGAATGTGACTGCTAACTAATTGAAACAAGGTTGAATCTAGCTCGTTGCGGCGGCAATCTTAGCGACTCGCGCGAGCGTCCAGTACACGAGCGCGTCCTGATTTGTTTGGTATGCCGCGGGATACCACAGGATCCTTAGACATGTTGAAGTGTGCTTTGCCACGCTATGCCATGCCGTGCTGTCTGTGAGCGTAGGCTATATTACTATGATACTGATTTATGTAGTATGATAAAGGTTATATATTTAGTTTTAAATATTATATAACTCCATATTCACTCATTATGCACTCTTTTAAACCTGCCCACCTTTAATGTCTTGAAGAAATCGCTTTTAGCCGACTTTAAAAAAAGCTAGTTAACAAATTAGACCGTGTTTTTTTTTGTATGTATTTTACGCGATAACTTCGTTAATTCTGAAACAATATTGATAATTCTTTTTTTATTAAATAGTACACTTCAGGGAGTGGTTCCTTATAAATTTGTAGAAAAAATTCTACCAATAAAAATGGCAAAATTGTTGGTTTTTAGAAAGTGTTGGAACTATTTAATAAAATATTGAGATTGTGATATTCCATCCACTAAAAATGGTAAAAAATTAACTTTTAATAAAAAGTAAGAGACATATTTTATGAAAAAATACTTGGAGATACTTTTTTTGTGAAATCGAAAAATTTATTAAATAAATGTTAATTAACCGTTAAACAGTTATTTTAAAGCTCATATAAGATTGTTATCTTAAAGCTAAATAACATCACATTAGATATACCATCCAGGTGAAGCCGTGGCCGGTCGCTAGTGTTAAATATCCCAAAAAGTGTGTATAAAACAAAATATCATGGTTGTTTTTGCTTGAGCATTCCATATCCTAATAGTGTAGAGTCGGTATCGGCTAGTACATTAGCGAGTGTTCCGCCAGAGCGATAGAGGCGTCGCTATCGTTGTCCAACCTGGGCGCGGAGGCGGAGCTGCTGAGCGGCGCGGACGCGGAAGCGGGAGCGGAGGCGGAGGCGGAGGCGCAGGCGGAGGCGGAGCTGCTGAGCGGCGCGGACGCGGAAGCGGGAGCGGAGGCGGAGGCGGAGGCGCAGGCGGAGGCGGAGCTGCGCGCGGCGCTGGCGCTGTCGGCGCGCGAGCAGGCCGAGCGCGACCGCCGCCTGCGGGACGAGCAGCACGCTTTAGACGAAGCTCTACGCTTGTCGCTCATCGACAAGTAGCGAAGCCTCATCACAAGTGCGTTTTTTATACAAAATAATGACCCACCCCGCACCCCAAGTAAAATTTTTTCCTGTATCATGGAGGCGTGGTAGCTTGTTAGCACTCTTTGTTAATTTCACTTTACCCGAACAATCTGAGTTCGAACCCCAAAAAGGAAACATCGTGAACTGCATGTCTGAGAAATAAAATAAAATATTTCGAAAACATATTATGAAGATCGCCAATACGCATTGGGACAGCTAAAAGTAGGATCTTATATTTTTCTCTTCTAATTTTGTTAAGCTTTAGAAAGTTCTTGTAATATCAATGATCAAAATTTACTATTTTATACATGGAAGAGCGGCGCCTCCTAGCCCAAGTATCAATACATAATACTTAAAAGGTTTGAACATTTGTACATTAATAAACTTTTACGCATATTTCATGAAAAAATTCTTTAAAATCAATTCTGTATTATTTTAACCAAAAAATCAACCTTACATTCACCAAATAAAACTGTTTTCGATGTCATTTTTTATTTAAATCGATGAATACTGATATAGTTTTTCTTTACAGATCTATTGAAAATCACAATGCGTTCCACAAACGAAGACATCGCCTTAACATAAGGTTGGCGGCACTCGTTTAACAATTGTCGTCACGAACCGATTTAGCTCATATTGTATATTACATTCGGTTCATATTTCCTTAATGCGATAGTTGTATATGAAGCCGTTTTGGCCTGTGTACTTTTAAATTTAGTAAAATTAATATAATATATATAGCACGTTGAAAATATTTATTGTATGTTATATTAGTTCGAATAGAAGCTATGAGTGAGTCGTTCAGTTTGCAAGGTTTATTCTTGATATTTTGAACCCTATGACTATTATTCATAAGGCGGGAAGTTGTTAGAATTACAAATAAAACTAAACAAATCAAGAATACGCTCTGTACTGTCGAAAGATTTTTATAAAACAGAATGCAAACATGCATACAATTCATCTGATGGTTAGTGAACACTGTTGCACATGACCGTCTGCAACACCAGAGGAATTTCAGGCGCGTTGCCGGCTTTTTTGAAAGGTTGGCTGTTTTCTTGAAGGTACCTAAGTTGTATTGTTATATTTCGAATAAGTTGCTAGTGGTAATCGTTTCTCGAATCGAATCGAAGTCGTGCGAAAAAGAAAACTCCTTGAAAATCGCACGCATGATGTTGTGGAGGATATTGTGAATTTTGTCGCGATGTACGATAGGAAACATTTACAACGTTTATTTAAAATTATTCAAATATTTATTAACAAGATGTTATAAGTAATTGCTATCGTACCGACAAGTGAAGAAAAAGCCCTAACACTGTAAATCTAACAAATTACCGTTTTAAAATGAACCTTAAGTAATAACTACGTGTGCAGTATGAGAATTGGTCTGTAAACTGAAGTTTGCTATCATTACGCAGCATGCAACTTCACGTGCATCGTGTATAATTAGTAAAAACATTCAAATCTATACATATAAATAAAATTTAAGCGTCTGTCTGTACTATTGAAATAATGAACTGGCTTCCATTAAGCTCAGGGGGTTATGAAACTTTACGAACAGATAGAAAGCAACGCCAGAAGGAATCTAAGCTATATTTTATGCTAAAAAATATTTTTTTGAAAAAAAATTGATATAATAAAAAAACATGCGTGAGCGTCGTGGAACACTCGGTTGGAACGAAGTTCCTCGTTATTGATAAACGTATTATATTATTGATTAACAAACACAAATAAATGTATTACTAGCGTCTATTAAAATGAAGCGTCATTTAAAATAAAATACACTATGACACAAGGGGTAGTAACGAAAAAATCTTACACTTTTTGTCACCTAGCTCCCATCCGCCAAACCCGTACTGTCGGATAAGGAATTTCGTTCCAAATGGTCTTTCATTATCTTTAATGATATTACCATCCGAAGCCGGATCGGGTCGCTAGTTAAAAATTTACGTTTCATAAATATTAGTTTTTAAATAAAAAAAATGGTCAATAAAATTAGCGTCTAGAGAGTGAAGTTGTGTGCACAACCATATTCTTATACTGCGCGCGTCTTTTATTATTTATTCACGAATTGTGGTTTTGAGTTGCATTAACTTAGAATGCTAGAATTATCAAAGATGTGTGAGTACAACTTAGTTTGTCAAACACACCTCCAGTGATGACGTTTAGAGTAGACGCTGCAAAGTATAATTATTATTAATTAGGATCGGAAATTCGAATGCAATTTTTTTAAACTTATTATAAGCCGAACTACGATCACACCTCGTGATAAGTGGTGATGAAGCCCTTGAAGGTTAATTGTACTTTTAGCGTATCAAAAGTCTATTCACTCTTGCCTTGACGGTACAGATTTTAATCGGACGGAAAGACAGACTCCGGCTAATTATTCCACTCCTTGTCGTTATTATATTAAAATTCTAAAATTCTGGTTTAGCTTGATATGGTGTATGTGCCTATATTAAATTAGCTTAACAACTTAAGCGAAACCCTTTTGATTAAATGAAACTTAATTTTTACGAACTTTATCGCGTTTAATTTAACTTTTTAATTCCCGACGTTTCGGGCGCTTTACATCACCCATGGTCTAAGGGAGGTCTGAGGTGTTTGACGTCCCGATGTCATAGTTAGTCCAGCTACCTTCAGTTTTTGAATATTAATTTTGGTCCGATTTACGCAGAATGAGCTTACAGTGTCTTGAAGTGGTGTGCTTGGGATTGGATTTAATTTAAAAAATCCCAAGCCGATGGCTACCATCTGCCATCCATCTTCTCTATTGAAATCAGGATGTTTTTTTTTAAATTTGAATAGCCTTTCGAATCATCTTTGGTAGGAATCGGTGTTCTTTTGCAAGGATTTGTGATCTATCAAATCTAATGTAATGGTGAGGTCGGTCTTGAACATGTTCACAGTCTGCATACTCGAAACGTCGGGAATTGAAAAGTAAAATTAAACGCGATGAAATCCGTAAAATTAGTTTCACTTAATGTGTAGTGTTCGCGTAAATATAAGAAATCATTATGTAAAACTTAACTTACTAAAAAGCCCGGGGATTATGAAATTGTAAATAAGAACGCATATTATCAACGAACTTTTGATATAAAATGTCTCTAATTCCGAAAAACATGTATATACTATTAAAAATTAGTACGACAAAATTAAGAGCTAAATTATTATTGTATTCGAATTTCCGATCACTAAATATTATTAGTTACTTTATGTTAATGTAAGATAATTTATTGTTTATTATTATTAATCGGACTGGTTTCGAAATGCCCCAAAACGTCCTTCTATGCCTCCATGTTGTTCTTCCTATTGTGATTACACTTTTATATACAGAAATTCTAAATTAGAATGTTTTTAAGTCTTAATAAAAATATGTTGATGTATGATCGCAGATATTGAGTTTACGTTACTCAGTTTCAAAACACTTTTGAAACGTGGGTCGTTGTAATGACTCAAAAACCTTTATAATGTTGAGCAAAGAGTATACAATCTCTAATCTTAATGCTGAGTTTATTTAAGATATGTGCTCAAATGTTTGATTAGTTGACAATATGTACAACTATGCTACATAATATAAACTTTAAGTAGCCTCTGCCTTTGGTGCAATCCTCGGTGCCTCAGTGTTTTATTAAAAACTGATTTTGTAATGATTTTTGTATATGCACATACAATAATTATTAACGTATATTTCCACATTTATATTGGAATCCTATTAAAAAAATATAAATAAGCAGTATATTTGTATGTAATTTTTTATTTTAGTTAGATGCGATATGTATGGTAAATTTGACAATTGTCAAAAAAGGTAACCAAAGGTCGACTGATGGTATTCTAGGCTTTTAAGAAACTATTATAAAATGTTTTTTATGTAATATTATTACATATTACATTCTGACCATTCTATGAAAAATTGTAATCAATAAAAGTTGAAATACTATGTACTTTTTTTACTTAAATCCTAAATTTTGGTTGATAACTTTTTATTTATATTTTTATTCGTAAGTTCATCGAGCCGGATACAAATAATTAATTAAGAAAAGTTTATAATGATATGAATTTAGTTTAAACCATAATGTAATATTTTTCATATTTTGTTTTAAATTATCTCTTTTTCATGATCCAGCGTTTTAGTTGCAGGAAACCAAAATTAATATTAAATTATTTATAATCAGCATATGTATCCCCCAAATATCAAATATTAATCAAAACGTGACATTAATTGTTGGGAAATCTTTGTGTGCATTCAAAATAGCCTTATATAGGAAAATTTCCCAAGTAACCTTTTTTTATAGAACAAGGATGACAAACGAGCACACAGTCTACCAGATGGTGAGTAGTTGCTGTAGATATCTACATTTATCCTCAATTAAGAATAAAAAAAATGCAGATGCGTCGTCACCCGTGAGGACTAAGATGGAATGCCTCGTTTCCAGTAAAAAGGGTCACCGGTTCTCTACACTCACTATACGAAACACAGCAGCATTAAGTTGCTATTTTATGCTGCTATTCTGTAAGAGCGTGGTCCTACCCCGGACGAGCCGACCCATTCGTGCTTCAACCACAATATAGCTGCAGCATGGCTCTACCACATAGAAATATATATACATAACCTGTGTTAGAGATAAACTGTTTAGTTTTAAAAAATATTGTCATCGCGAAATGAAGTCTTTATAATATTTCAATACGAACAAATCAAAATTGCGTGTTCAATTTTGATGCAATAGAATAATTTAAATAACATTTAACTGGTTGGAAAGTATACCAAAAATCTTTACAGCGTACAAGCTAATTTATTTTCTATTGTGCAGTGCAATAAGCTCATAATTTGTTTGCTACAATGCCAATTCTAAATCCTACTGTCATACCCTATTAGTTGTGATTATGTAAAACCACTTGTTGTAATTAAAAATAGAAACGGGACTACAATGGAATTTTTATTATTTATGTATTAAAAACTTATCGATTTTCAGTATTCG